ATAAAGGCATGTTAGGCAAAATGTATTAGGACTCAAACCCAACTCTTATCATTATAGTGCACCAGAACTTAAATATGTCTTAACTAGTTGCATAATAGGCCAAAGTACAAGATTAAATTATCAATCTTGTGGTCAGAAACATAAACAAAATTAGTTATAACAAGATTTAAAAATATAACCACTTTTTAAGGTTGTAGGACGAAAACGTTTCATTCCTTCTAAGTGTTATCACTTTTAGATTTACGTGAATTCAAATAGAAGTGCATTCAAATAAATACTAGATAATCTGTTAGAACACTTACCAATTTTGTAAACGATAAACCAAATCAATAAAGTAAGAATAAAGACTAGGACTTGGAAGCATATATATAATTCTTGTAGTAATTCCAGTATCTACATATGCGATCCAATTCACATCATAATATATGGATTATAGATGATAGTCAAAGGCTAGGATTGACTGTAAATCAGAATATCTATTATGCTTACAACTATCCTGCCACAATATTATGTTTATTTNTGTTTATGCATGCATTTAACCAACTATGCAGGAATAGTACTAGTTTAGTTCTATTCATTAAATATTACCATAGTTACATTCATCTTAGCGTGAAAAGGGTAAAGGGCACATTGGTTGTCTGATATCTGCGCACATATATGTAAGCACTATTCAACACGTTAAATATAAGTTAAAGAATTGAGTAGAGAGTACCTGTTTCAAAACTTAATTACAAAATATATATTGATGCATTTTGATTTGGTTCATGAATAGATCCCTTGAAGGATAGCCAAACGATAACTAAAAATTCATATCAGACGTCAAGAAAGAATAAGCAAAAACTATACTTGCCAATGCAGGGCTAGCACTCTTTCAAGCTATAACAAAATAACAATAAAATACTGAAAGCTTATTGTGAGTTATCATGGCAAAATAGAAATTTTTTGAGATTAGTGGAAGATAAAAATAAAAATATGAATAAGCTAGAAAGATGAAAACTTATCTTGTATTAGTATCCCTCCCATTGGCTTCTATCTTTATTTTGTTTGATAGCCACAAAATTGTTGGTATAAGGATAGCAAACACAAAGCACAATCTATGCCTATATGGAGGTGTACGAAAATGGGAGCACAGTCGTGCTGATAACGTGTTATGAAATAAAAGCAATTTAGTAAAACATGAACAAGTTATGAAATAAAAGCAATTTAGTAAAATATGAACAAGAAATAGAGATAGAGAGAAGGAAGAGTATTTCTTCTTCAATTGTGTATATTTTTCTATCTATTATAAGGCCTTTATATAGGCATGAAAAGTGAAGAAAAATATGTCATTAAGCATAAAAATATGTCATTNTTTGAATTTGGTGTGTTAACGCGTCCATCACCAGGGAGAATAAGAACGGACTGAGCGCAGAACCTTGGTGTAACCCCATTACAACCGGAAAATGCTCAGAGTCGCCTCCTACTGTCCTAACCCGAGTCTTAGCCCCATCATACATATCCTTAATCGCCATAATGTAGGGAACCGACACACTTTTTGCCTCCAGGCATCTCCAGAGAATTTCTCTAGGGACCTTGTCATATGCTTTCTCTAGGTCAATAAACACCATGTGTAGATTCTTCTTCCTCTCTCTGTATAGTTCCACCAACCTTCTAACAAGGTGTATAGCTTCTGTAGTCGAACGACCCGGCATGAACCCGAACTGGTTGTCGGATACAGACACTGTCATCCTCACCCTCGCTTCAACCACCCTCTCCCACACTTTCATGGTATGACTCAGTAATTTGATACCCCTATAATTGTTACAACTCTGGATATCATCTTTGTTCTTATACAATGGAACCACCGTACTCCGCCTCCACTCATCTGGCATCCTTTTCCCCTTAAAAATAATATTAAACAACCTAGTCAACCACTCCAAATCTGCTCTCTCCACACACTTCCAAAATTCCACCGGAATCTCGTCTGGCCCGGTCGCTCTGCCCCTGCTCATCTTACGCATAGCTCCCACGACCTCCTCAACCTCGATTCGCCTGCAGTACCCAAAGTCTAGGTGACTCTCGGAATGCTCCAATTCGCCTAGCACAATATCCCGATCCCCTTCTTCATTAAGAAGTTTATGAAAGAAAGTCTGTCATCTCCTCTTAATTTGGGCATCTTCCATCAATACTCTACCATCTTCGTCCTTGATGTATCTCACTTGGTCCAAATCCCGAGCCTTCCTCTCTCTGGTGGGCACAAAGGAGACCGGTGGTGGAATGAAGTGGTCCAAGGTAAAGTGGAAGCAAAGAAGGCGACGTACCTGAAGTTAGTGGGAAGCATAGGTGAGGAGGAGAGGCGAGTGTGCATGGAGAGGTATAAGGCAGCTAGGAAGGAGGCTAAACTTAAAAACAGAAGGAAAAAATATCAAAAGCCTTCCCAGTCAAATTAAAAGAGAAAAAGAAGCAAGTAATTGGTAGGCTGAACTTAAATAATACCAATGATGTACGAACTCAAGCCACCTGGTACTTCCTGAAGTCTATAAATCTCTACTTTTAAGCAATCACCAATCATAAAACTGTCCGAATGCATCGATCTGTTGCACAGTTCATGAATCCTATATAAGCAAATAATACACGAAGAAGCATCATCGAACAAGTATTGCTCAGGGGAAAAGTGATCAGGTAATAAAAGCAAAATTTTGACGCGTCTTAAAAATTCTACAGGAAGCTACACCGGAAGGATAAAACCACATACAGAGGGATACCTTCAGGATACCATATCACTGGACTAAAACTTCCGAATAAGAGGTGTTTCAATCCAGAAGCATTATTTTTCTGTTTCCTTAGTAACAAAATATCTTGAATCCTGAAAATGAAGAGGTTCATTCCCCCAAGAAGTCCAGCCAGCTATCATTTCTCTAGCAAATAGTTCAATGCAATGAGCAGGCCTAGACCCCGGCACATAATCCAGAAGCAGCTCTAATTCATGTGGGCAATGGTAGGAGGAAAATTATCAGAAGCTATCAGACAGCAAATCCAGCAGTAAATGAGAGAAAATATCAATAACATGAAGGAAAGAAAGGCACAAAGAGAAACTACATTATTCAAAAGGAAAAAGAAAAATTCAAATGGGAACCCGAAAAGGTTACCTCCAATGGGGGGTTTCCTTGAATAATCACCAGGAACACTGACGAATACTCGATTATCTGGTATAGGATTCAGTCTTGTTATATTGTCAGAATCAGTCTCCTACAAAAACACAGGGAAGTGAAGAAAAGAGTTGCTTTAACAACGGCACCTCTAAGGCATAGGAAAAGCTAACCTTTCCCTCACAGTATCCTAGGAGAAGGCATTCATATGGCCGATGATGAAAGAGGTCCAATTCACCGGTCATCATCCCATTTGCTTTAACCTGTAACATATATCAACTTAGATACCTTAACACATATATTCAGTCAATATACACTGTTCAGGCTCCTCTCTCTCTGGGGGTAGAAGACATCTTAAGGGTCTACATAACAGCTGTGTAAGAAATGATACCTTCAACCAGTAAAAGTTAGCTGCATATTTTACTCCCCATTTCGGAAACAAATCATTCTCCACAAAACCTCGCAACTTTTCCCTGTTGGTAACCCACAATGCAACAAGAGATCCAGAGGTATGACAAAGTTGCTTGACGGGGAGAGATAAGTAGTATCGGTTAGGCAAAGTTGGGTACCTGCAACCACATGGAATTGCATATTGAATCGAAGCAATCTACAACACAGACCTTTACGCCTAATAGTTTGAGCTTCTAATATACAAAGCAGATTTAAATTGACCCATTCTAATCACTTATAGGAATTCACACTTATAATATCGGTTTTGTTCAACTACCATCCTATGTCTACCCCACCCCAAAATTTGAAGAGAATTTTCCCTGTAGGGTGTACAGGATATGCCTTGTTTCTACAACTGACATTCTTCGCGAAAAAACTTTGCAGAGAGTGGAAACCTCGAAAAATAAATGCAAGCCAAGGCTAGCAAATAATCTAGAAGCAAGAGAGACAAATCTCGGGAAGGATTAACAAACACCTCAGTTTCTGGTGAGCGCTGCCATTTTCCCAAGGGGGATCTATAACTATGAGATTGAAGCCACAATCAGAATCAGCTGAAAGAAGAAAACAACACTCGGAGTTTAAGCAGCAGCTCCAGAATTCTAATTTATGCAATAACCATGAAAACTAGTATGGAGTAATATATATGGCAAGAAATGAGGAAATCTGCCTTTAAGCTGGGTACTTCCCAATACATTGTAGGTCCATACAAATGGAATTTAATAAGCATTAGCTCTGGACAGTACGTCCACCCTCAAACACAAGAAGAAAGGATCTTGGTTCATTACCTGGGATTAAGTTCTCAATCTGCCGCAAATCAGACTTCAAGGCAACAAGAACAATAAAGCCAAAAAGTCAGATTTGTAAACAATGCAGATAACTCAGATTCAAAGAAACAAAAACCAGAAGAAAAAGTATTGAAAGCCAAAGTAAACCCAAATGATTCTGGATTAGAAATTTTCATGAGAGAAAAGAAAGAGGCTTTCTCAGAAACAACTAAAGAAGCATCCGCGGTGTATCATACCATATAGAAACAACTCCTTATGGGAATAATATACTTGTGATTGAAAAGCTCCGCTTCTATATCACAGCTTCCCTCATTAGCGACTAGATTATTAAATACAGGGGTCACACTTTGCTCAATGCTCTGAGCAAGAACTGAACCTGGAAACCACGCAAGACAACTAGAACACATAAGCATGCTAGGACCGCAAGAAATATGCTAACAAATTACAAAAATTTTATATCGAATTGCATAAAGGGCGCCTTGGTGCAACAATAGAGATGCTCCATTGATGACCAGTAGGTCAGGGGATCAAGGGGCGGAAACAGCCTCTTTTGCAAAATCGCAAGGCGAAAACTGACAGTATCTGCCCACCCTTAAGCACTTTTGTATTGAAAAAAAACTCTTGTAACTAAAGCAAACCTCCATTGTGGAAAGTTTTATCATCTTGATAATAATTGAGAACAATCTCATACAATGGAGCTTGCCAAACACTTCCGAGCTCCATAAACGAAAGCTCACTACTTTCCTCTGACAACTCTTTACATTCCCCCACAGCACATCCATCGTTCCTCAAATTCCTCAAAACTTTCAAAAGATCAGTAGCTTCAATCAAGGCTTCATGCGCTTTCAACAATAACGGCTTCACCTCCTTCAACACAAATAAAAATAAACAAAATTTACTGCTCACAATCTCACACTCAATGCACAGAAAATAAGCAGCTGCATATTATACATACAAGTTAAGATTTTTGAAAATGTAAAAATGTTAATGGTACCTGATGACGACGATCGGCGATTTGTTCGCGTTCATTGAGAGATTGAGGCTTCTTCTTCTGTTTACGTTTTCGTTTTCTAGAATCTTCGGAAGCTTTTGGAACTTGTGTTGAGTTCGAGGAATCGAAGAAGCGAGAGTAGTACGTAGAAGGAGAAACCCTAAACCGGGTGTATGAACGGTTGAGAATTCGAACCGGGTCGATAAAGAAGGCATTTGAGGTTAACTGATAAATGCCGGATTCTGAAAACAATTGCAGTTGATTGTTTTTCATCTTCAGATTTTGGGAATGTTTTTTGGTTTTCGGCTTCGGAAGTGACAGTGGCTGGTTTGTTCATCGGGCATTAGGGCTGATGCCGGCGGGAAGCGGGAAAGTTTTATTTGCATTATGGTCCCCGTTTTTCCTCCTATTTCCGACTAAGTCCCCAAAAAGGTTCTCCTTTCACTTCCGGACCCCATCTTTTCCTTTTTACTTTCTTTCTTTCTAAATTTGGTTTCAAGTAATGGCACTGTACTTTTTACATTTTTTTAAATGAAGAGAAAAACTGTTTTCATCTTAACAATTCAAACCAATGTAAGCTAATATTGTTCTTTAGACTGATTCGATATCTTATCAACTAACTATCTCATTTTTTTTTTAACATTTTAAATAATTAATTTATACAATTTTCTAATGAACTCCATAAAACTATAATTCAATCATTTCACCCTTTAAATTTTTTTAAAATAAAAATAAAAATTTAAAACCATACATGTCAAATTATATCCATCGTAGTCACTCATACTCTTTCTTTGACTTTACTCTGTATTTTGCAAGGAGCTCATTTGAAAAAAATACATACTTATCCGCACATGATATTATCACTAAACCAATAACTTATCTGAATAATTATAAATTAAACAAAAAGTATTATTATTTAATTATTGATTAGTGATGACATTAATATATATATATATATATATATATATATATATATATATAACACATATTTTACTTACTGATTTGGTGTAAACATTGAGTTATAAATAATCTTTTTACTCATTTTGCTCCAATCTTTTCTTGTCTTTTTTACCTTTCTGGTTTCATTTTACCTTTCTGGTTTCACGAGGTCAAGGTGGAAAGGACAAATTGGGTGAAGGCATAAGCTATAGTCGAAGAAGATTAGGTCTAATATAAGTATTCGGTTAGCACAATTGGTCAATGAACCTTTATTTTTTGGACCTTATTCCTTTGGAAGTTCAGAGTTCATTCCATTCATCAACAACATTGTACATAGCAAAGGTTTCACAACTTTTCATTCTTTACTACTTTTGTCTTTTGAGGTTAGTAATACTGAACTATAAATAAGGTGAATTTAGAATTTAAATTTTATAAGTTCAAATTTATAATTCTATCATATCTCATCTAATTTAATGAGTTTAAAATTTATTATTTATATATATTTTATAATTTTTGAACAAAAATACATAATATGAACGAAAGCTATAAGTTTACTTGAACTCATAGCTTCTGCAATGGATTTGCCTCTCACTATAATTATATTATTTTTTTTGATGATTTGGAATCCGTTATGTTTCCATCAAAGTACATAAAATAATAATGGACGAACATCAATTGTAGAAGAATATAAATTTATGTAGGGACAAATAGATAATAGGAAAGGCATAAATAGCATAAAGATTATGTTATGATTTGTGACACCAACATTAAAGCAAACTTTGAACTTTGAAGTGAGCTTGAAAAGGGGGATAGTTACAATACATGGTCAATTCAACACAACTGTCCTACTTAAAAAATTGAATCTTTCACTTATAATCAATCACCAACTTCTTTATTTTTCAATGATTCTTTTAGGTTAATTGGTGTCAAGAAGCAATGAATTTCCTATAATTTATTCATTGATGACATAGAGCAATTAATAGTTACTTTGGGACACAAGTGATTTCATTGGTTGTGTTGTGTCATCACTCTAATATGACTCACTTGTTCTTGATTTATGTGAAGAAGTGTTTTCCTATCCCCACTCCCACCCACACTCACCACCCACCCCTTTCTACTTTGAAAAATGCAGAACTATTGACACCGTTAATTATTGTTTTAGCAGCTTATTAATTAAAGAATAAAGAAGAAGAAAAAGGTAAGTATGGTTTAAACTTTAAAGGATATATATATATAAGTTTGTAAGTATTATTTTGCCTGTTTTAGATATGTCCTTTGTTTCTTTTGAATTTGGTTGATACTTACATTTGAATAAATAAATTGTTGACGCGAATAAAAAAATTAGTCAGCCGTCTCAAAATAGGTACTAATATCAAATGAAGAGAATAAATAAATCATCATCGACCCATACAAAACTTTTTGTTTTATTTTTTCTTGAACTAAAAGTGAGACCGTAAATAATACTAGGAAAGTAAACTACTGTAGAATATATTAGAGCTTTTGATTGGATTAATTGAAAAGCAATATTTAAGTGAAATAGCATGGATTGTAGTTAGTACTCCTGAGTCCTGACACTCTTTCCCTCGAAAAAGGGCAGGAAACATTTATAATTTTGTTCCCTTTTGGGCATAAAATATTACTTCACTATTTTAAATACCGAACTTAATATTTGTAAGTATTTACTATTTGTAAATATTAGTTTGACGATTATTTAGGGTATACTGTCTCTGTCACACTCCTTAGATGCGGTTTTTTTCTGAATTTTGCGTGAACGCGAGATACTTTACTCAATGAGTTGTCCTTTTTTCCTTTTACAATTTTTATTTATAAAAAGTTGAACTTTAGTATTTAAAATGTTGATAACAATGATATATTAATTTGACTTTAATTTCAAGTGATATAATGATTTGTTAACTCACAAGTCTTCAATTTTTACGGAATTATTTTTGTAAATGACATTAACATCTAAACATTAATTCAGCTAGATAGGAATGGCTCTCTAAAAGTAAATATAAAAACGTTACTACACGAGAATAGATATGATAATACGTTTAATCCATAAAATTGAAGTAAAGGCTGCTACACCAAATTGGCTGTATTGCCATCAGTTAGTAATGACAAAATAATTAAAAGAAAACAGTTATTCACTTATATCATTCACTAAAAATTGGTTGAATAATAAATTTTTTAAAATACCGGCAGGAAGCGGAAAAGTTTTCTTTGCATTATGGTCCCCGTTTTTCCTCCTATTTCCGACAAAGTCCCAAAAAAGGTTCTGCTTTCACTTCCGGACCCCATCATTTCCTTTTTACTTTCTTTCTTTTCTAAATTTGGTTTCAAGTAATGGCAATGTCTCCTCCCAACAGAACATGCATTTTTTTTTTCTTTTGTCCGAAACTAATTACATTTTTTTAATGAGAAAAACGTTTTCATCTTATTAATTCAAACTAATGTAAACTTAGTCTTTAGACTAATATGATATCTTTTCAACTAGCTATCTCAAATACTTTTTTTACATTTTAAACAATTAATTTATACAATTTTCTAATAACTTCATAAAAATATAATTCAATCATTTCACCCTTTAATTAAAAAATAATTCACCTTTAAATAAAACAATACATGTCAAATTAAATCCATCGTAGTCGGTCATGTTCTTGAGAAAAATACAGGAATTCAATCAATTTTGTGTGAATTTGTAATTAGGGTTCTAGTTGGGAAAATCGAAGAGAGAAGAAATTTATTTCATAGAAAAGAAAGAATCAGAAAACTGTCTATCTAGAGAGTTCTACTCCTTTTATATACATTGGGCCAAATACCTGAAAAATAAAAGACTAGCCGAGCCCAAAATACAAAATAGCATAAATAGCTAAGTTGATCCAGTTAGGCCATCTTCCATCATTTATGTTTGGGCCTTGTGTGTATCGTCAATTATTCCACCATCCCTCCCCCCCCCCCCCCCCCCCCCCCAAGTTGGAGGATGGGAGAACCCCAAACTTGGGTAAGATAGTATGATATAGAATCCCAATAAGTGGTTGTTACGACCCGACCGATCGTTTTAAGCATTTGCGTTTCGTTCAACTATTTGAAGCTTTGAGTAGCTCCATATGATGTATTATAAACATGTGTGTATCGTCGTTTTTGGTTTTCACGTGTTTCGGAATATGTTCGAAAGAATGAATTTCATGTTGGAAGCTTTAAGTTGAAAGAGTTGACCAGTATTCGACCTCGAATCGTAGTTTTGATGATTCATTTAGGTCCATATGATGATTTTGGACCCGGACATATGCCCGAAATTTTATCTGGATATTCCTAAAAGTTTTCAACGCCAATCGGAGAAAGTTGGAAATTTGAAGATTTTGAATGTTCGTAGGTTTGATCTCGGTATTGGATTCGGCTTGTTCGAGGTAAGTAACACTTCTAAACTTGGAGATGAGGGTATGAACCCTGATTATACATGTTATGTGATTTGTTTGGAGGTGACGCACATGCTAGGTGACATACGTGTGGGCCTACACCGTAGAATTAAGACTCAGTCGATTCCGTAGAGCTGTGTAGTCAATTAACTTGTATTTTCCATGTATTTTTCATGTGTTAGAGAAACTGAGTTGTGACTCATGTTAGAAATCATACTTAGGCAATGTTGGTATTATTGGGACCCACTAAAGTCATTTCTGCTGTCAAATTATGTGTTTAATTTATAATTTCATACTCAGTCATATTCATTCATTGCATATCATATCTTAGTCTCTGTTGTTATTTACCGATACATCATATCATCATTTTGGGCTAGTTTCATGGCATTATGAGCCCGAGAGACTGGAGAGATTGATGACTGAGTGAGGCCGATGACCTGATTGTGAGTGATGGTTATGAGATAGAGCTGCACGCCGCAACATATTTTTATTTATTTATTCCTGGATCTGGCTTATTATAGCGCTTGGACTGAAAAAGCCCCTTCGGAGTCTGCACATCCACAGTGAGTGCAGTGGATATTATATTTGGGATGGAGTTCCCTGGGCATGGAGTTGCCTTATACATTTACATTTGGGATGGAGTTCCAAGGGCATAAAATTGCCATATATATTCACATTTGGGATGGAGTTCCTTAGGCATGGAATTGCCCTATATACATTTATATTGAGGGACGGATCTTCCCTAGGCTAGACTTTCCTCGTGTAGTACTGAGTGATTGAGTACTCTGAGAGTGTGAGTACATGAGTTCATCATTGAGATGCATTGCATTCAACATGCGTACTTGAGATACAGGCATAGAGATGTATTTCCTCATGCTACCCGGTTTTGGTGACATTCATGATTTCACCTGTATATTGACATGTAGGCATAGAGATGTATGTTCTTCATGCTATTTGAAAATGAAATATCCTATTTATTGTTGAAAAGTTTTTGGAAAAATAAACTTATACATATATTTTTGAGGTTTTCGGTGAAAGATCTGGGATCTACTGTCATACTTGAAAATCATGCCTATTTTCCGTAACATTTCTTCTACCATCT